AAGCTTATGTGTCTGTATCAAGTGCAGAGACTGTGAATGTCTAACGTTGAGTGACTGAGTTAATTGCCTGGTAGGCTCCTGAGACTACCTGTACTAGTGTAGTCATCGAGATAGTAATGTCCTCTATCAGATCTTGCTGTTGGCAGGGCATGGCCTGATTCAACAGGGGACACAAAGTTCAAAGGTTTTGTGGGGGAGCTGTTACTTAGAAATATTTTGTTTCTTTCTCTGCTCTTTAATGTCAGTCCTTAGAGCTTACGTTTTTCTGTTGTTAATTGGCCCCAAAGAAAGTTAACCAGTATGAGTACAGAGTGGTCTCAAAGGTCCAGGATTTCAGGGTCATTCGCAAGGGTTGTCTTCTGGGAGCTTCTGCTTCACAGTCATTGCAGATGCAGAGGATATTTGTGCCTCCTTTCCTTCTACGTGGATCAAGTTACTATATTTATGAATGGTTGTACTGGACCTTGGGATCTTTGAGTGCTGAGGTACCATAACTGTTGTAGCTTGCCATGGAGATGGAGATACTACAAAAAAGGCAAGATGCTTGAGAGTGGTTGGGATGTTACTTGTTTCATACTCCTTGTACCTTCATCTGAGAAGTCATCTTCACCTCATTTAGGAGCAGATGACCACATGTAGGAAAGCATATGCCTGAACTTCAGGACTGTTGTGTGTGAACTGAATGAAATGTGGTTTATATAAACAGTTGATTAATGATTCATGTACTGATGTAATGAAAATACTTTAATTCTTTTTAATTACAAGCCGTGCTTAATACGCTAGTGGATAGTTTAAAAATAGAAAAAGAAAAAGAGGGTACAGTCAGATATTTCTAAAATGAGGTGTACTTGCTCATTCCTGCCACTGCGCTCACAAGATGCAATGATTGCAAACTGTAATGTTTTCTTGCTTGGAAGGAACAAAGGAAACCGCCAAATGGGAGAACAAGCCAAGAGGGCCTCCTGGTATTTGATGTTCTCCCCACCCAGCTTCTTGACACAAGGTCGTGTCTGGTTAACGATCACAAAAATGGTCACAGTACTCTTTGCAAGGTTTTCTTGTTTTCATACTGCTCTCAGCAACCTTCTCAGCATGACAGGGACTGTTTGTTCTTTTATTTTATTTATTTATTTCCCTTCTTTTTTATTTCTTTTTTTTCCGCTTCAAGTGCAGTCCTGGGAGTAATCCTTGGATTGATTCCCCTCAGTGAGGGCCTTGGCTTTTCTCTATTCTAATAGCACACAAAATGGTACAGGTACAGACCTGGGGTTCATCATGCTTTCAAGAATGTGTTTCTTTATGCACAAATTTATTTCTAACATATTTTTTATGTGTAATTTACTTGTAAACACAAGCTACATCATATAGAAAAATGTAAAATAATATTCACCTGACAAAACAGAGATAAAAGTAATTTATTCAGCCATATATAGCTACTCTCAGACTTGATTGGCATCCACTTGTGTATTAAGACCACTTGATAAAGCACTAGGATTTTGCTGAAGTGATTATTGCCTTACACATTGTACGTGGAAGTGTCCAACCTCCATTGTTACCATGCAGTAGTTATAACTTTCTAATCTGAACCTGCTTTATCATCATCTGAATTTCACCTCTGCTTGAAATAACCAGCATTGGTAATGATTTCTTTAGAAAATTAGCACAAAATAGTTTTTTTTTTTGATGTAATGTTTTGTTTGTACATATAAATAAACTTTGTTTGTAAATATACTTTGAATATATTAATTTTTTTGTTTGTAAGTGATTTGTCTGTGTAATGTTTTCCATACAAAGCTGTAGAAATATTTGTTAAAGGCACTGAAATTCAAATTATTAATTTTATGTAATATTTATACTTTTAAACTTTTAAAATAGAAACTAAGGACTTAAAAACATGGCAAATGTATTATCATGACGTATTTATATTCTTTGTAGCATGTAAACCTGATACATAACTAAGTTACATAAATGCCCTGTAGTTTGTATTTTGTGTCTGCTGTTAAAATTTATATTGATTAGGATCTATTGATACAAGCCACAGACTGAAAGAAGTGGGGTTTTTTTCTGACAGGAATTGAGAGAAGTGTTTCAAATTAAGTTATTTCTTTTTATCTAGTGGAGCAATATATTTCTACATCAGAAATGCGTTATTATGAATATTTTAGCTATGAGATTTGTTGCCTTCTCTGAATTAATTTAATTGGTATTTTTCAGAAGTCTTATACCAACATGAAGTAAATCAGTATTTGTCAGCATTCAATATTTGTGAGTAATTCAGTATTTTAGGGAAGTAAGTTTTATTTCCTACATGCAAGTGTGATAATTCTGTGTTGCAGTGAAAAGTATTTGTAGGAGATATAGAGCAAAAAAAGATAAACTTGATTTAATTCCTAATTCTGTTGCTGCAAAAGTGCCTCTCTTGATATTGTTGCTGTCTTATTCTGGCAATTGGGAATCCTGTTAATGTAATTCTGTCTGTGACCTACCTAGTTCTTAGCCCTACAAATAGAAATATAAATCTCAAAAGGTGTTAACTGTTCTTTTTACTGCAATTTAGCATTACAGATTGTCACGTGAAGCTCAAAGCTTCTAGTGCTTAAACAGCTTAAAATATCTGTGTCTGTATTGTTAGTATTTAATAACAAATAAGCATCTGCATCTATGTTTTAGTTAAGTGTCTGTTTATATCCACTGGATCTACCCAAGTAAAAGGAGATGAAGAATATACAGTCTGCATATCATTCATTATCCAAAATTCAGGGCTAGAAAACTAATTGGAGAACTCAGTCAAAAAATTAACATTGACTTAAATTTAAGGAAACCTAGAAATGGAAATGCTCAGATTTAGTTTTAGTTCTAGTCTTCCCTTTCTAGCATAGCGACAATTTGGTTTCTAATAAGGTTATGTTAGTTGATGTTGAATTTTTTTCTTCTAAAAGCTTAAAAGATTGCTAGTCAAAAATGTCTTCTCAGCACTGATGTTTCACCGTGTTGTCTCAAAGGCCATCAGAGCATATTGAGATGCTTCAGTTATGCAAACAGAAAGTGACCTCATAAATTGTCAAAGCTGGCTGACAAAAAGCATTTAAAATGTGTAAATGTTTATTTTTCAATATTTTTTACAATTTCAGCATGATTTTGGTGGTATTTATTTTAACAGTAAAAATCTAAAAGGCAGGGAAAAAACTTTTGTACACGAAAAGGAAAGAAAAGATGCGTCCACGCTTCTCTACCAGTGACTCCAGCAAGCCTTTGTGATTTCTGTATATGCCAAAAGCCATATGCAGGCTGTGCATGCTGACAAAACTTCCAGCTCCTGTTTCCAGGTGTATGCACTGCAGTTCTGCCTGACTGTGAGCACTTCATTTAGCAGTTCTGCACTACCTAGTGATTCTTGTATATAGATTATCTTTTGTGAATAGCATGCACTTTGCCTTGTATAAAGTATTGAGTCTTGAGACATTGTTTGAAAACGTCTACTTGGAGAGTAACACAGTTTTGTAGTCTGCTGCAACTGAACTGGTTGGAGGAAGTTGAATGCTGTGAAAGCACAGTGAATGCTGTGAAAGCACTCCTCCTCATCCTCTGTGCCTGGTTTCTATTTTAAAACGTAGCACATTTTTATCACTGCATCATTGAGCATGCCAAGTGTTGCTTTTGCTGTCTTGCACTTTGTTACGTTGGGATGTCAATGAGAATCTCAGTTTTTCCTGAAACTTTGCCCTACTGAGAGATGTGGTGGTTCTGTGGTCTTTTGAATTGTAATGTTACGTTTGGGAGGAAAGAAAATGTGCTTGTGTTTCAATAAGTTTATTCTATATGTTTATTATTACAGCCTTTTGGGAGGTCTTTGTGCTCAACTGACAATGTAGCTTTATCAATTATTGTTATGGAAGAGTCACAAGAGCTGTATTCATTCACATTTGGCTTAGGTACATGTTAGCTTTGCCCAGACCTCCAAACCTGCCAAAGCCCAAATGTGGAATGTGGTGAGTATGGTAAAGACTGGGTTGGTGCGGAGAAGAAAAGCTATTCATGCAGAAAACCTAACATTTTGACTGTAGATAGTATAATAGAATATTGTAGTGTGTTTTATTGTGCTTTATTTCTGATGTGTTGGCAGTTTTCAGTTTCTTCTGAGTTTTCTGCAGTGAAGTCATGTAGTTGTTTATTCTGTGTGTCCCTAAGAGGCACATGGTGAAATGCTAGGGGTTTTTTTGGTGAGTGGCACAATGGCATGGCTGACATTCGTATTCTGCTGCATGTGTGTTTCCAGTCCAAATGACTAGGGACCATTTTGGGTGGTTGCTGCTGGGAATGGTATTTGGAGAGGGGTTCCCAGGATTTACATTAAACAAACAGAGGCTGTGAGGGGAAAACTGTGATTCATTAGGAATCCTGGTTTAGGTTAAACTGGTAGAAACAACTGCAGGGCATCTTAGATTAGTTTAAAAACTGGAAAAGTAGAAGGAATCTAGAGTGTTTTATAAATTGTCCCCTTTTCATTTTAGAGTTCTCTGCCTTACTTTTCCCCTGTTAGCCAAAATAGCCCAACATAGCCAAAAAGGTTCAGCAGTCAAAGATTCAGATTCTGTATACACAAGCTTTTCTAGGCTGTGCTGTCAATACTACTGTGTTTGTCTTCTCTCTTCTGTCAAAACATGTGTCTGAAAGTTTTTGTTTTCTATTCTGGTTCTAGGCAGGACAGAAGGAATGGAAGTAAAATACCAGAAAACCCATTTACATATTGCAGAGACGCTTACTACATCATTCATTACAACTGCTTTAGAAATTGCTTCATGAAAGCGATCGATAGTAGACTAGTGAACATTTGTGTTGTATGTTTTATGTAAAGAGGACGTAACTGACTCTCCCATATGCTCTTACCAGAATGTTACAGACAAGATTTTTTCAGTCTTGCACACTGGCAGAGTTAGAGTGACTCCACTTCCAGCAAGTACTGTGTTTTAAAAAGATATGTCTTATGTTTAACTTTGCAGATCCAGAATGCTAATGATGTGCTAATAGCACCGCTGGAGAAGTTTCGCAAAGAGCAAATAGGAGCAGCAAAAGTAAGTGGCTGTGGAAACAGTTCTTTTTCATTTCATGTTTATTTGAGTTATCAGTGTGTTTTGAAGGCTGGACTGAAAACAAGTATTTTGTATTCAAACATGCTTGATGCCATCCTCATTAATGTGTTAGTAAATTATACTGGATGCTTTGCTTTAGAGAAGGAGACAATTTAAAAATGGAGTTTAAAGACTGATTATATGCATAGGGTACAGCTCTTACAGCTGTTGCACATTCTTACCATCTGGAGTTGCGTTCATATTCTGGTGTCTGCCTTCATGTTAACATTGCATCTTGGGTTAACCCAGAATGGCACAGAATGGTTCAACAGCTGATCTGGGTGCAGTGGCCCTCAAGTGGCCATTGTATAAAGATGGAAAGAAGTCAGCGTTTCAGCCATACTCTCTCACTTGTCTCTGCTTTCCCTCTCCACTTTAGATGGCTGATGCAATGCAGAGTATTCATCTTCATGTTGCCCAGAGATTTTTCCATGGTGGAAGTGCTCCAGTTGGTGATTTAAGCCAATTCTTTGGTGTTAAGTGTTAAATTTGTGTTAAAGAATTAGTGCAGATTATCTGTACCAGGGTCCAGTTGTCAGCCCAGGAAATGAGGATACTGGGGAAAAAGATGTTGGAATGAACAATTAGACTAAAAGAGCTAATTCCAGTCAGAGCTAATTGGAATCTTAAGTGGTTATCAGTGACTGTTTTGATCACAATCTCAGAGAAATGCATAAAGGCTGAGGTGGTCAGTTAGAGATATGTTTAGTAACATTTCCTTCTGTCTCCATAAATATGCTAGTTCTGAAAGCATTTTGCATCTTGTATTAGTGCTCGTACATTTTTCCAGGAAACTTTCCATTCGTAAGGTTAAATGGGTAGAAAAAAATACTTCTCTTTGATGTTGTAGCTGAGGTTGCTCATGTGCGGTACTCAGCAAACCTCAGAAGAAGAACAGAACTCTTGGAAAGAGAGACTGAGGGTTTATGGTTTTTGTACTGCTCTTGTGAATGTGTAGCAAACAGATGAGGCTACTTCCGCACAGGAACTAAGTAAATGTTTGAGAAGAACTTTTACTGTGAACTTGAGGTCAGATTTTTCTGAGATGGATGTTTTTTACCCTCTTACTTGATATGTTTTTGTGTACAGCTGCATTCTTCTCGTCCCACCCCTATGCTGCTGTGAGATGCAGGGCTGGGAGTTTATTTACCATGCTGCAGAAATCAAAATTTAGTCCCAACACAAAATTATTTCTAGTTTTCAGTAGGTTTTGGTTGCGTTGTTCAGTTCTTTGTGTTACCATTTTGTTTCATATTCCTATAGTTCAGGGGGCATCATTCATCTTTGCAGAACTCTTTTTGAAAGCCTGAACTGCTGTACTATTGACTAATTTATCAGAGAGGCAAATCCACAGGCAGTTCACAGAGTTCTCTGAGATGCTCATGTCTCCCTTGACTACATCACTCAGTAGACTTCAACACGTATTTAGTGATCTAATTGAAGATGAGTCCTTTGTTTTCTGAATCAACAAGTATTTAAGAGAAAGTCTGGGCTGGTTGAGTCCTCTCTGTATAGGATACCAGATAAAATATGGACATTTGCCCATCTTATATAATTTGTGGAAATAGTGATCATCTTGACTTCTTTGTGGTCACACAACAGTGTACCGAATGACTTCAGGAGGGAGCCTGGCTCAGTTAACTCTTATTCCAATGTCTAATGGACTTTATTATGCAGTGTTGCATGTGGTTTGGACAGCACAGTATACTGGCTTGACACACTGATAATATATATATATATATATATATATATACAGAGAGCTCTTCCGGCTTGTTGTTATATAAAATGTCAAATAAACTCCTACTTTCTTGCATTGCTCAGAAAGTTAAACTCTCAGGCTTAAAAAATGAGAGATTTGTACTGCCTGCATAATCCATATGGTGACACAAACATTTGCCTCTGAATTTATTTGCATCAGTGGAAACAATTACAGTTGGCCTTTAACTAAATGGAATCAATACTAAGAAGTGAGAGATTAGTTATATTTAAGAATGTTTTTCTAGTAATTACAAAATTGCAATATATGAGCTAGGAATAATAAGACCAGTGTGAAGAGTAGAAATCTGGGCTTTCCAAAAGTCAATGCTAGTAGAATAGAGAATGTGATCAGATAACCTACCCGAACTTCCGTTCACCCAGCTCAGTCCTTGAGTATTTCTGAACCCTTACAGATGCGGGATGAGTTGAGTTTGTTTGTTATCTGTCTGCAGTTAATGAAGGTGTGCACAGAGATTTGGTTCTTTAAACTCCTCTAGTGTGATCTGAACTGATAGCCAAATAAAAATTAGATACTTTATTGTTGCTGCAAGTTTCAGAACACAATGAGAATGTCACTTTTTTTTTTTTTTTTTTGAGGTCTTTTTTAAACATGCCGTCTGTTTGGACCATATATCACCTGTTACTTTTTGTTCTGAAATACTGGGTTTGAGCTGGTTTTACCCCTTGTATTAACTTACAACAGCATATAGAATTTTATTCATTTCTGACCCAGACTTGCTCCAGTTTGTCTGCTATCCTTCTCTCCTCCAAAAAAAACAGAAAACTTCTGTGCATGTGTTCCTCTCCGAGGAGAGGCTGGAATAGTGCAGACTCCACAGGATGGCTGATAGTTGTGTCATATTATGTATTTCTAGAGCTGTGAATTTTCAGTTAATTTGCATTGTAACATCTTGTGTACCAACATTGTAAGAGATTAGGTATAGAAGCATGAGGTTAATTATATATATGCCTTTTGTATAGGCAATTTCAGCAGTAGCTAGAGATGCAAGCAGCTGGTCTTTGTGATCAGTCTTACACTGTTAGACCATATTTTCTAAACAGTGATGAGCACTGGATTCTCTCTCTTTTGTCTTTGAAATGATCAGTTGTAGTACCTTTTTAAGCTGTGTTTCCAAATTTATGGAGGAAAAAGAAAATAAGGGATAGTTGTGTTACCAATACACATAATCAGAAATGATACTAGGTACTACTGTCGGATTTTGGTGAGGGGAAGATTACGTGAGAGAGCACTTAAAAGTGCTTACTTGGCTTTTTTTCTTTCTTTTCTAAAACACCAGATGGAATTCAACTGGGGATAAAAACAAGCACTCCCCCCCACCCCCACCCCACCACCCTGTCATACACAGGCAGGAAAAAAAAAAAGAGAAAATGTTATAAATTAATGACAGTTTTTTGCTATGATAATCACTGTTTTACTTTAATAAGTAATTTTGCGAAGGTTTTTACTATGATGGTGAACTATTGTAGGGCTATGCTACAGCTGTGTCTAATACAGGGAATGAGAATATTTTCTTCTTTATTCAAAGCTTTGGGCAAAAAATACTGTCACAGAAATCATAGATAATATGGAGGATAAAATATATCCTGTTGATGTTGCAAAGCTTTATTTCAAATACAAGGACAGCATAAACCCAGAGTGCAAAGTTCAAGTAGTTTTGGAACATCATAAGAATAACATTAAAAACTAATTCTTCACATGCACTTCAAAAACCTGAAGGTACCCAACAAATCAAGAAACTTTCCCCATAAAACATTAGTGTTTGTAATCAAACCAGCAATACACAAATCCCCATCACTTGATCTTCTCGATTTATACTGCTCGCTCTTCTGTTTTTATTGCACATATTTCAGTTCTTCCTTTTCTGTACACACTCAGTTTAAATAAAGCTGAGTTCTCCCCAGAGACTACACAAACCCAGCTTTGCATTGGATAGCCTGTTGATTTACTCCATCTGAGTATAAAGAAATGACCTCTGCAATTACTGCAGAAATGCGAGCAAAAGCTGGGTGAGGTAACTGGGAAAGGATTTCAGGCATGAAGCATTTTCCCTTTTTTGGTCAATGTGGTCTGCAAGTCCCCAGCTGGTAACATTGGTGAGATCACTGTGTGATGTGTGATGTACAAAAAGGCCAAACTTTCGTGTTCTTTTTATCCATTGAATACAGTATTTAGCAATATTTGTTCCAATGTTCGTTGACCTTTAGTGCAACTTAAATCAGATCAAAGACAACAGAAGCAATTTTGGTTTTAAGACTTAAAAAGCAAGTTTTATTTCCTCCTTACAGTTCCATCTGTTTGTTTCCTAAAATTATTTATTTTGGCCAGAAGGATTATTTTTTATTATTATTTACTTTCATTCATTCATTCGAAGCTGTGAGTTCCTTTCTACTTGGGAAACAAATCCATGTTCACTGCTGGGATTAATTTTCCTGCATCTCTGTTCACATCTATACTTGCATGATGTAGGCAGGCAGGAGCTGGCGCGCTCCCTCTGTTTTATTTGGATTGTCCAGAAGTTGAGGATCATAAAACAAGAAAAACTCACCTGATTTTTGGAGTCTGTCAGAAAACTGTCAAAGCTGAGGTTTAGATAGGGATCACTAGAAATGCCAGAATGCCCATTTTGTGAACTGGTTTCCTTGGTATCTAATCAAATTACAGCATTTGTTGTCCTTTAACTGAGAAAAATGCCTGACCTTGCTCTAGTAGGTACAGCGGAAGGTGTTTCATTATAAGCAGCATCTGTTACTCAAGGTTTAATACTTGTGTCCACTAGTTTTGTGATATTTTAATGCCAGTCTGAACCTTAGAGGGGAGGAGGCCAGTGAAAGGAAGCAGAAATTGAGGCCAGGATAGATGAGGTTCAAATGTTTTGAGTTAAAATGCAACAGTTTCCCAAAAATGTTTACTACCAGAGTTACCTGATAGCTTTTTTGATAAGAAGCTTATTCTACAGGCAAGGAAATGCAGCAGTTCAAACCTGATTTGTTTTCAGCAAGGCCTTTAAAGCACCCTACATTAGGCATTATAATTTAGTTTAGAGAGGGGTTAGTATAGGAAACTCCCTTTGCCCAAGGAACTGGATGATGGGGAAAGGGCAGTGAGTTTGGTTTTGGGGGAGATCGTCTGGTTAAGGAGAAGTTATTAATTAGAAGATCCCAAG